TGGGGGGGGGGGGGCGGGGGGGGCAGGAAAGCGGAGATGGAACTCAGAGAAGCAGGGGAGGGGTCTCCAGAAATCAGCTCCAGCAGAACATCGGCTATATGTGACCCCAGGCAGCTGGGACACTCAGAGCTGGTCAACACAAAACAATAATGGGAACTCTTTCTAAGGGGCCTGGGACACTCAGCCCTGGTCAACGCAAAATGATAATGGGAATGCCTTCTAAGGGGGCATGCTCAGTGTTCACAAAGCCTTTGCACCAGGAGCCCGTTTGATCCACACAGTAATTTTCTAAGAAAGTAGGGTGTGAGGCCAGCAGGTGATGTAGTTAAGGTGCTGGACTCCCACATGGCTGACCATGGTTCAAGTCCCAGACCTGGTGGCTGGAAGCTCACTCCTCCTCCCAGGAGGAAACTAGAGGAAAAGGGACTGCAGTGTGGCCACTCTCCTCTGGGTATGATTTCTTGCTTTCTGTCTCTCTGCCTTTCTCTGTCTCTCCAGCAAGGACATGTGCCCTACAGTAAAAGTCTCTCCTTCCCACATCCTCTCCCCCCCAAAAGCAAGTAGGGTGTGAACAGTACCCACTTTACAAATGAGGACACGGGGCCAGATTCACCATTCAAACCAAGAATATAAATTCCGCCTTGGCCCAGACACACCTCCGTCTCCTGGCAAGATCCTGATATAAACGCAGGCATGAATAAGGCAGGGCCAGGGAAGCGGTTCTTTCCTTTTACAGAGGCAGTATAGGGCAGTGGTTAAGCCCATGGATTTACTGTGCTATTTTCACTGAGTTTGAATCCTGACCCTACCACTTACCACGTGACCTTGGCCAGGTCATTGGATAACCTTCCTCTTGCTTGAATCCCCTTCTCTCTTAAGGATTATGCTAGTATTTATTAGATCATTTGTTTGTAGAATTAAATGCATTTAACACTGGCAACACACTTGGCATTGCGCTACGTAAGTACTTAAATGTTGGCTATTATTGCCACGATTAGCTGGGCTTTGCATCTCTATCTCAGTAAGTTGGACTGTGCTGGGATCTTCTTTCCTTATCCCCAAGGTGACCACTTACTCTCCTCAATGCCCAAACTCAGGTCTAAGAATATGATGCCCCTCTGGAATGTAAGGTCACACCAAGTCAAAGGAAGGGTGGCAGAGCAAGAAAGGGGCTTGTCCCGATGGCCCGAGCGAAGCCGGTTCAGCCTCCTCCCCAGGGCCACTTAGGTACGGAGCTTAACCGCAAGTGTGACTGCCTCAGAGAGGAATGAAGAGATGACATCTTCTCCCAGGCTTGCTGGCTGAGCCATCCCCAACTTCACGCTCCTCAGGGGTGGGCGAGAAAGCAAGGCGGTCACCCAGCTGCCCTCACCTCTTCACCAAGTCTCTGTAGCCTGACCCATCAGTCAGGGAGCCAGTGGAGGCAGATCCTCCAGTGTCCTAACTGCCCACGGTGCAATCCTCGCCCTGCGTGGAAAGTCTACAGGCCACTGTCCCATGCCCCTCTGTGCCCTCTTCCCTGTGGACAAATAGGGGCCTTAGTTCTAAATGAGCTCGCAGGCTTGTTTGGAACCACTCTGGGAACCCCATGAGAGGCCCTGCCAGTGGACTGAGCCCTAAACAAGAGTGGATGACTGGCTAGCTCGGCCTCGCGGGCAGTGCTTCTGGAAGCAGGCAGGGTCTGGCAGGCAGGACCTTGGATTCATGGGTGCTGGAGAAAGACCCCAGGGAGATGGACTCACCTGGAACTGTCCAAGAGCCCTGGTGCTGACCGCTCTCACTCCATGCTCTAAGGAACTCCCCACACGCAGACGTAACAGCAATACGGGAAACTATAGTTTTCCCGCAGTTTCATTAACCCAAGGCAGGGTTTCCTTACCTTTTGGGAACTATGAACCCCTTTGACAATATAATTAAAGCTATCAACTCTCTCGTCAGGAGGATATAAAACTTGCAAACAGCTTTGAAGGTGTCACAGACCTCCCTGGATCCCTGACCTAGGCACATCTTTGGGACGGGGTGGGTATATAAAACAGGGAGACTTCCCCAGATACCTAAGCAAGTTATAAGTGATATATGCATTTTTAAATGTTTGTTGTGTACTTCGCACTTTTAAAAATCCTTTCCACTCCATAGCCTCACAATTTTTATAGCCATTATGTTCATGATCAAAATAAGGTTCAGGAGGGGCCAGCAGTTAGCGTAATGGCTATGTCGCTGGACTCCCACATAGTCGACCGTGGCCATCCCCCCTGGGGGGTGATTTCTCGCTTTCTATCTCTCTGTCTCTGTCTGTCTGGCGAGCGCACATAGCAAAAAAAGAAAAAAAAAATAAGGTTCAGAGGACTTTGGTGACTTTTGCCCAAAGTCACACAGTTCATAATGATGGCTACAGTTTACTGCAACTACCTGCCTGGCATCTTAAATATGTCAAACCTGATTTCCCAACAATATCGTAGGGTAGACATTATTACTATTCCCAGTGTACAGAGGGGAGAACCAAAGTTCGGAAAAGCTAAGTATCTTACCCCAGATCGCAGGCAACAGAGCTGGGATTTGAACATAGGACTGCCTTAGTGCAAAGCCCATCCTGGACTGGAATATGAAGTGAGTATTTCGGTAATAACAGGCTGTTTCACTAGCAAAGGAGAGACTTTGGTCTCAAAGGAGCATTTGGATAGTGTGAAGGCATTGGCGTTTCTCCAATATAAACCAGCGAGCACGTGTGTTCATTCAGACACACCCGACTGTGCTAATAGCCAGCCTGATCCGACCAGGCAAAACTACCCCAGACCCCAGGCAACGGGCCCCAGAAACTCCATGCTCTGGGCACACCAGGCACTGTGGTGGGAAGAGTCCTGGCCCTCTCAGAGCAGGCTCGCTGTGCTCCTGGGTTTTTCTAGCACTTACTTGGCACCTGGCCTCATGGCTTGTCTCCCGCTCCCAGTCCTAGGCCCACCTCTCAGACCTGAGAGCTGCCTGAACTTCGCTTCTCGTGAAGCTGCAGCTTCTCTCCCTGACGCTCCTTGAGTGCATCCTCTGCCCTCGTTCTTGCCCTGTTTTGGGTCTCCTGTCCCTCCCTCCACACCTGATCAAGTCGATTTGGTCCACATCCTCCAGCCAGGCATGCGCTGTCTCCCTTCAAGGTCGGTCAGACAATAGTTCTCCGATCAAATTAATATATTGCATTCTGGTTTAGCAATTGGCCTCTGGTGAAGTTGGCCTGGCTGACATGAATCAGGCAGGCACCGAGTCGACTCAGCTCAGCTGTGAACTTGAGTACCAGGTGTCCTGGTATAATCATTCCCTTGCCTTTACTCCATCAGAGCAAACGCCAGGCAGAGAAGAGACATTCACACCTGTCGCAGTCATTCGGGCATGCTAGCATCGTGCCCACATTTACCGAGCACCTCCTGAGGATAAGGCCCTGAGCTGTTTGCCATGGGCACACCGAGGGAGCTGGAGCTGGAGCCGGCACTTCCTAAGCTCCCACTCCTGTCCTCTTCCTCAGCGGGATACATTTCAGACATTCTTATTCAAAGATTAAGACACAGTCCCTGAATTAAAGGGTGTATTTTTAAAAACCTTTGGTGACAAGAGATGTAAAGCTGGCTTAAGAAAAGAAAAAAATTCAGAGGTTCATGGGGAAGATAAAGATGCATACAATAATTGTAATACAAGGCAGACTTCACGAGAGGTCTTCAAAAATGTTGAGGAAAATGCGTATTATGAAAAAAATGATGCATGAATTTTTAAAAATTGCACCCAAATTAATTCCTGCTTTAATTCCAATTAACCACAAACTCTTTATATATATATATATATATATATATATATATA